ATTATCTGAAAGTGGGCTCTATCAGCAGTAGACCATAAAGAAACCTGAAAGACTCAGAACCTTGAGACACAGGAATGGTGTTCCCAAGCTCTCTGGTAACAGACTGAAGCCGCCAGAGGCAAGTTTAACACAACCTAGGTTGTTTGCTCTGTTGGCAGAAGCTGAGCTTTTCAGAACTTAGCTTCATTTACTGTTTGTGTTTTATCTGATTTATCTTGATTCTGCTCATCTTGAATCAGTGAGAATGTTGCTACTGACTTCAGCAAAATCAGGCCTTTCACAGAGGACCAATGGAGCCTCCTTCACATGCAACAAAGCTCTGCACCCAGAAGAACAGAAATGCCAAATGCTTGTAACATTACACCAAATAGCTGTTTTCTTCTTCTCCTTTTTAAGACATTTAACTTCTCCTTAATCCATTTGCATATTTTCTGCATGTCCAGTAACACCAGTCACATGAACCTCTTTTCAAGATGCCTTTATTTTGTTGGCATATATGACACTTCTGTAGGATCAGCACCTTAGGTCTTGGTCCCAAACATTAACAGCCTGAGGATGAACTGGATAGTTTGTGGCTGGCTGTGGCTCTTGTCTGGGACTGTTTCCATCTCTGATCTCATTTTTCTTGTCCACATGGACAAGAAAGGAGCACAGATCAGGAAGGAACAGAAAAATGAGGGAAAAGTGGCTGCTATTTGTTGGCTCCAGAGGGAGCCTCAGAAGGAAATTGGTTGAGCACTTCTGAACCTCTTAGAAGAGCTTAAATAATGGGTGTAGCATCTGAAAACCATGAAGCGTAAGGCTTCAATAGCTTCTTGATACAACCTGTGAGCAGCACAACCTGTTTGCATGGTGGGGAGACACTCTCAGCAGGTGCTAGCACTTCATTGTAGAGCTGCCATGCAGAAGGAGTGGCTCAAAAGTTAAGCAACCTTTGAGTCCTCAGTTACTACAGTCTTGTCTCAGCAAGTTACATCACAGTGAAGTGGACACAGCACAGTTTTATCATTGAGGATAGCAGGTCAGAAGACAGACTATGAATGGTATTTTAGCAAAGTCAAATCTGTAAGTGTTTGTGTGCAAGGGCCTAAGTCTCTACAAAGCACTAAAAAAAGCCTCAGCGTGAATGGCTTGACAAGAAGCCATCCATCCAAGCTATCCTTGGTTAGAGGCAGTCTCCCCTGCCCTCATCCTGCTTGGGCTTAAAATCACGCAGGCATTTATCTGTGGTCCATTAAATCTTAACTGTGTGGTTATCTAACCCCTGAAGGACAAGACAAATGAAACTACGAATGTAATTTAAATCAAGAAACAGAAATAAGTGTTCTCTGTTACAACTTCTCCAACACAGCCATCTCCTGCTTTCCTCTCCACTTCTCTAGGAGACAGTAGCTTACAAAAGTAGTTTTGCCATCAGAGCAACTGCAACTGGAATGACATCCATGAGACACCGAAGCAGCCAGCCTCTGGTGGCATAACACAGGCAAGGCCCAGCACAACACTTAGTCACTTCTCCTTGCACTGTTCTTGAGGGATGCAGACTCCTTGTTTTACACTGTTAAACCAGGAGTATACAGTACTGCATCACTGTTGTACAACTCCAACAGACGAGAGGATGCTACAAAGATGTTAGGATACATTTTTTTACAAACAAAAAAGCAGAGATGAACTCCAGTGCTAACTCCTCTCCATGCCCCTGATCTCCTACCACTGGCCATTTAAGAAAAAAAAAATCTCTTCTCACAACTGAAGCCAATTAGAAAATCTGTCCACTCTATTGACCATGAAGTAAAAGCAAATATATGAAACAACATCACTAGATGACTTTGCAGCTTCCCCTATATGGTTAATTCACCATCTGAGTAAGTTCTCTCTGCTAAGTATTTTCATTATTATTACGTGCTCTGTAGATCAGAACAAACAGCTCTTATGTGAGTCCATCTGTAAAAGTCTGGCAAATAGATTAAACTTGAAATCAGTTAAGTACAATATTCAACTCTTATTTCTGTGTCTGTTTATTTAGAAAACATTCATTCAAGGAATGAAAGGCAGGACTCATGGTACAGGACAAGGTATCATCTAAGCTACCATCCACTCTTTTTAGAATGAAAAAGAGATGATATATACCGCTTTAGAATAATTTCACTTGCAATTACCTTAATCATAATAGCCACTCAAAAAATCCACCATTGGAAAACCAATGCTAAACCAATACATCCTCTTACTTCCTTTGGAGCTAGAATGGTACCATGAAATTTCTAATTAAAATTTTTAGAAAAGACATACTTTTGTAGTATGCCTACACCATGCAATTGTTTTAAGTAGCATCCCTAAAAATCGTGTGACAGTTTTATGTGGAAAAGGCTAGGAAGTAAAGGACAATGTTCTAGCCCAGCAGAGGCACATGGGTACAGTACGATTTCCTACCACTCTGGGCGTAAGCTTAAGTCACATCCACACAGTGGAGACCAAACAAATACTTAAGCCAGAATAGCAAAATGTTTTAGAATGGAGTGTAAAAATAATCAAAGAAACACCATATACGGAGTGTTTACACCATACAAACAAATATCAAAGTGCACATGCACATGTGCACTAAGCAAGCTATTTTGAATACTTGCTGGTGTGCATAACAGTTGCATTTATTGTAAAACAACACCAGAAACTGATATTCACCAGGTGCTTACCTACTCTCATATCAAAGCAACTCCTCTTTAAACTAGACTGGGAGATCTCAAGCTCCATCTTAAGCCTTATCTGCGGGAAAGCTGTATAAACTCATGCTGTACCAGAAGTAATTAACTTGCCACCTCACTTTCACCTTCTCTTCATTTTCACAAGTGAGATTAGACCAGTAAAGGTCCACAGTGAAAAGTACTGAACACTGACGTCCTTTGCAAGAAAGCAATATAGGATACAAATGGGTCTAAACAAGCACACATCTTCCTAATGGAGGACTAGGTATTTTAGCCAGCATACAGGAGAGGGAAAAGAGGGCTGAAGCTCTTCTTTGTACCTTATCTTCCTAAGGAAAAATAATTTAGACAAATGCTTCTGCTTACTGCTCTATACCTTCACCTAAGATGTATGTAAGCCCTTGTAAGATATATAACATCTTATTATATAACATTAATATAACATCTTATTTTTCATTTCTCATACAGAAGCTGTATCTGATCATAGCTTATGCAAGGAAGTGATAGAATTGTACCCAAAACAAAAGCAGTCACATTTTCACAAGTTAATTTTACACATTATTTCAACTTGAATCTAAAACCACAACCTGTCACAGACTTTTTCTTGCCTATTTAAATATTGTGCATTCGACCTCTGTGACACAATTAGGTTTTTATACTAGGTTAACTATGGCTATTTCTCATATTTAAATTTTAATCCATGTTCTTTAATTAATAAACAAAAGAGCTGCTTTTTTTAATTAGGCTTTAAGTCATTTAAATCAGCCTGAACAAAAAAAAGCTGTAAGCTTCTTTTAAGTTGTTACTAAAGCCTTGATAAATATCTGTATTTGCATTCTTCACTGAGGTTTGGAAGATCAACAAGTTTTTCAAAATAGATCAGCCCCTTTTTAAGAAGGGCATATTCAGTTATTTGTCATAGCATACAGCAGTTTATTAAATTTAAAAACTGGAAGTTGCCATGTGTAAAAGCTATTTTCAAACAAGCAGCAATAGTGTCAATTTTGGAAAAACAGTTATCTAAAAAAGCCTACCCGTACCAAAAGGCTAGTAGGACTAAGCTTCAGTCTACTTTGCCAGTTAACAAAATAAAAGTCTGTATCTGCAGTTATGCAATATCTGAGGAAGTCTTTTGGAAATGTTTAACCTTCTGAAACCCTTCAGAGGGGTGCGGAGAACAACAATACAGATGGTTACATTTTTGCAGATAGAAGTCCACACGGTTTAGAGGTGCAACAAAACATCGTTTGATTATCAAAGGGCCCATGTTCTGTTCTGCATATACTGGACTGACGTAGCACATTTTTCAGTAAAGTCTTGCAAACCCTGCTGTACTTCAAGTGCCACATGTTCTTCAAACTTGCTTAAACAGAGTCAAGTTCAAATGGTCTCTCTCTATGTAAATTTACACAAACCAAGCAACTACAAGGTGTTTGGAATGGCTCAGGAGCTTTCTGCAGAAAAGAGGGTACATTAACCTAAAAAGACAAAGTTATTTCTGGGGTTGTAGAAAAATTGCTGGTTTATATCTCATGTTGTAAATGGAAACAACTTATTATTTCTGTTAAACTCATTCCATACGACTGTCCAATGGAAAAAAAAAACAACAAAACAAAACCAAACCAGAAACAACAGCAACAACAAAAAAACACAAACCAGGTACTGAAGGAAGAGGCTGCTTCTATAGGCATAAACACCAAATGATGGACAAGTCCTACATTAGAGAAAAATCTAGCATGCATCTTCAACAGCATATGCAGAAATCAAGGACAAGAAGTAACTTAAAACATACAAGGAAATGTTGCCTTCTTTTAAAAAGGTATATGGAAATAATTACACTGATTAATAAAACACCGATATTCACAACCCATCTGAACTAAACTGGTTTACATCTTCAGGAATAAAAGTCAAAATAGTACAGAACATTTCTTTTTTTCCCCTCTTAAAAAGCAGAAGGAGTGCCACACTGCCAAACATAAACTGTTGCTGCATATAAATTAGCGTCAACCTTCTTGTGCTTTCGGTTCAGGGACAGAACACAGAGTCATGTTTCCTGCTAAACTGTTTACAGAGTTATCAGATGCCTATATAAATCAACCTTTTTTTCCTACTTAATTCATTATGGAGTTGCTACAACTACAGTAACAAGATGCAAAAGGCTTCAAGAAATTCCTGTGAGAACTACTTAGGTTATTTTATGAATAAATTTGGATTTTTCTTTAGTTCATCTATGTTCACCAATACATACTGTATTGGTATACCTTGTTGGTATTACTGTAATGGTATACCATATTGTATACCTTGAGTATAAGAACTGCATGAGAACAGTCTCAAAAAAATAAAATATGGAAAATGAGGTGTGAGGCAGTTGGTCCCCTTCTTACTTCTGATTATTATTATTTTATGCTTTTTTAAATACCACCACTTAAGAAACCCAATGCACAATATAGTCCCCAAACCCACACCAAACTGCTTCGCGGTGCATCTTTCCAAGCAGGTTTCACACCTGCTTCTTCAGACAGAGCATTTGGAGGCTACAAAAGCACAACTTGTACTTCTCCATCAGTCAAGTTTATTTGTGTGATGTTTTTTCCAGATCTGGAAGTTTTTCAATTAGTGCTTTATGGTTCATGTTGATACTGGCTATAAGTCCTCCCTCATTGCCATCTGAGCCAGTGTAACTAATTTCTTCACCAGTCAGGGTAGTCATATGGCCACCCAATGCTCTCAACACTGCATTTCCAGCACATATGTCCCACTTCTTAATGTAGGTGACATGAATATACACATCAGCTTCTTCTTGATTCTTTTCAGCCACATCAAGGAGGGCCAACACTTTATAACCTAGAAGAAATGAGCAGAAGTTTAAAATAAATAAAAAAAGTTCAGCCAAGTTTTCCCATTCATCACAAAGGATAAATACACTAGTGTTGATAGTACACACATACAAGATTTAGGAAAGCAATATCAGAAATTACATCATGCCATCCAGTATAATGGTGAAGGCACCAATAAATTTGTCTGCCCTCTGACTTGTAGAGAAAATTTGAAAAAGGAATTCACCCCACCTCCCCCCCCCCATTTTTTCCACTGCACCCCCAATTAAAGCCTTGGTATGCGAGACATTTTATTTTTAGACAGCCTTTATCAATATTCTGCACAGACTTATCTAGAACATGAAAAGAACAAGACCAGAAATTTGAATATAGTTTTGCTCTTACTTTCACTCACTTATTTCTCAATCTCTGCATTATGCTGAAGTCTACCTTTTCCTTCCTGGCTTGTTATTACAATAGAAGGAAGATGCCTATACCACTCTTTAATAAAGCAACTCAGCCCAGGGTAATCCCCTTTATCACACGTTATGCAGTACAAAGTCATTGTTCAAAATAGTATTCTTTCTCTTATGGAATTTTTTCAATTTTTCAACTGTTCAACCAGTATCCTTGTTTCATTAAACTGTTCCTTTCTTTATCTTCTTATACAGAGTCAAGCCCTGGAGAAGATCTGCTACAATCAGTTATGCTTTCACTTCCTTTATCATAAGAAAACTAGTTTAGATTCACTGTCAAGAACCTATGCAAGATCTTCTTGACTAAACTATCTGTATGGGAGCTCTAGCTTTCCATATTAAAGACACAGAAAGATACTTTTCCATAAAATTCAAACTTTGCATGGTTTTTCTGACTTTAAGACAGCTATTGCTTCACACTAGTGCCTCACCTATATGCATTCTGTCAGTAACATTAACAAGGATATTGTGTAAGGTTACAAAACATAAGCTAAAGCCTCTTTCAACTGAATATGAGGCAGATAAAAATGGACTTTAGTGACACTATTCTTTTCTTTCGACATAAATGCCAGAAATAGTACCAAACTTAACGGCTTTTTCTTAAAAAACTGTTTCATTAAACATACTACTAGTTAACTAAAAACCAACAGATTGTCTTCGACGATTCTGTATGTGGTCACACAACCCTTTTTCTTCCACAGAAGCATTGGTGCCTTCCCTGAATGCACATCAGTGTGTTCAATGAAAGGATCACAGTAACACTGCTGGTCTAGGCTTCAATTCTTAACATACTAACTTGTTCATAGCCTGAAACCTGAACTAAGTTTGCAGGAAAAACTGTGTCCTATTGTCAAGTGCTTGCTTTGAGGCCTGTGAAGAACAAAAGGTAAGAGGAAAAAGAGGAGATGCCACAGTTATATCCTTTTGTCTAATAACAGCTATCCCATTAAAACACTCGGAAGCAATAAAATGGATAGGATGCTTCAGGAACCAAACCTGCTCCACCAGCGGGGATTATCACAGTCTTATTTCCAAACGTCTGCCGTGCAACCTGCTCAACTTTTCCTGCATGGGAGCGGGATACAATAATCCTTGGAGTTTTCTCATTGTAGAAGGAACGAGCTTTTACGTTTGACCCACCATCCACCATTGCCCAGGCTACAAGAGAAACACAAATTCTGCTAAGATTTACAAAAGACAATCTCTGTTTAGTATAAGGATAAAAGGATACATATCTGAGAAAACAAAATTGATATCTCAGACTTAATTTCCCTTCCTACTGTAAAAGAGAAAGTTAGGGCTGACAGAAAGAAGGGGTGCATGCCCACATGTGCACACAAGCAGAAGAGAAAGAGGAATAGCCCCTCTCCACACACTTTCGAGCATATGGCATTATCCCATGCCTGACTATTCTTGTGTAACACTTCCAAAAAAATTGAGTAAGAGGAAAAAATCCCAAGTAGCAATATCTAAAACTTGCAATTGGAAAGCCACTAAAGTTAAAAGGATGGCTCTGAGTCAGAAACAGATCCAGTATATCCTAAACAACCTTTTTTACAAGAAGAGCAAGCCCCACTACCCTTCAAAACCTAGAGCAAAAATGTTATTGAGTCATTTGGTTCAGGAGAGTGATGCTAAGGAAGGAAATAGCTCAGGAGGATAGTAATACTAAGGAAAACATTTGATAGTGCGGGACTGGATTTAGAACACACAACCCCCTACTTGTTTCATCATGAGGTTCAAAGCCAAGCTTGGTAGGTGGCATCCCCTAACCATTAATTTGACATTTACTTAGCAGACAAACCAGCGATTTCATCTCAGTAGAGGGCCAGATTGTATGGCAACAGACTGAATTATGTGTAATAACAACGCTGACTGCCCTTTATTGCTTTGTATTTGTGTCCTGGTATTAGGAACAATCCTACTTACAACATATTGGTATTTTCAGCTTGAGAAAAGAATACTCTTCACATAGAATGACAAGAATTCATTGCATCTCATCTGATGCCATGTCTGAACATTTCATGCTTTACTATTACTAAAGGAGATAAATTCTCAAAATTATAGTACTAAAAAACATTTATTCAGATAGATGTTGACACTTAGAAAAATATGTTCCAAAAAACTCCAAGATTCTTAGAGCATATTGGAAGATAGCACAAACTTAAATGACTGGAAATTAAGTTCATATTTAAAAACAGTAAAATATTTAGCACAAAATACTGAGCATTTGGGGGGACAGAAGGGGTGTGAGAGAACAAATAAAAAATACATTTATGCAGTCGTAGTTCCTGTGCCAGAGCTACTGCATAACTTCACAACTCTAGAGGTCAGTATTGCCTAAGGGAAAATGAGAATAGAAATTCTTGTTTCAAATGCATAGTATGTAATACATGGATAGCAGAACTGCTTTGAAGCTTTCAGAAGTGCATATGTGTTGCCAAACTTGCAGCCATCCTTGCTGATACATCGTTGATACTGAAGAATTAATTAGTTCAGAGTTGTGGTATTAAAAGCATGTCATATAATCAATAAGGCTATGCAAGATAATCTTGCCTGTTACAGACAAACAGTTGCCATTAAGATCTTTTATCTATCTTTGTTATTCACACTGAATAAACACCAGCTCCTGGGTATACTACCACAGACCCAAGTTCTTCTGCTGAATGAGTGAAGCACTTTTCTGCCAAAGACTAACAGCATACATAAGAATGGTCAGTATGTGTTAGGTTTCACTTTCTTTGGTTTGCTATAAGCACTCTGATTTAAGGGATCTTCATTCTTAAACATATTTTCAGTTAGTTTGTTTTAAATACATAATTTTTAATGTTAAACAAGGGCAGTATTTTCCTTTTTTGTTTTATAGGACAGAACACATTTGTAGCTCTAATTCTGAGGCCTGTAGCAGTGCTCTTTTGCCCCAAGTTCTATTTTCTCATTTATACCTACAGATGTTCTCTCAAACATCAATTTTTAATTAACACTATGACTGAAGATGCTGTAAATATGAGAAGCCATAAAGGTACCTGTATACGCTGAGAAGGGCTTGTGTATCACTCCTATTACTGGTTTACCATTTACAGCCACACAAACCATTGTCGTGACGTACTGTCGAAGATCCTCTGTCGGCAAAACGAGAAAATGAGCAAGTTTACAGCCAGATGCCAACACAAAGGAAAGCAGACCTGATATTTGAAAAAAATGTCATTCTTTGAAGACGTTCTGCCTCTTACAATTATGTAACTCTGTTGTATCTTCAAATAACCTTGAAGTTTTCAAAAGACTTTAAAGACTTTTCATTTTCACAGAAATTTTTCCTGTTCAGTAGATGTAACCTTAACTCCCACCAGATCTAATGCTAACAGCTGTGTCTTATGCAGCATGTGTTTTCATGGAAATCTCTACCTCTGTATTTTCCTTTCTCTGCCCCATCTCCTGTCCTTTATTGGTTCAAAGCTGGTAATTCAAATACCAAAGAACATTCACCTGAAAAGGTGATTGTATCAATGGAAAATTCACAAAAAAAAAAAAAATCACCATTTTTTGGTTTGTTCTGCAGTACATATCAGCAACAATTTTAGCTGGATTGCCTTGAACTGCTTACGTGACATCTTAAAAAATCTGAAAAAGGGGAAGACTGAATTACACATGCTTTTTTGAAAAACTGTAACAATTTTTTTTTCTATATCAAGTTAAATAGAATATTTACTTAGAATTCCCTTTAAATAAATAAACAAAAAATATTCTGAGATATTCTGTGTTGCCACAGTAATAACTGAAAAAAAGAAATGTGTAATTCCAGCAGAATCCATAAATGACAGCTACCCTCTATTTTAGCAATTACTTAGTTGCAAGGAATATCAAAGTCATTTCAGAGTTGGTATATATAAAAGTAAATGCTATGGACTGATAGATATAGAGATTTCATTCTTCATTTTTTTCAATTAAAAATCACATTAGCTTTGACATAACACACTTTAACAAGAGATGCCATTTTATACTTACTATTTTGTCTCCAGCATAAAAGGCAGACATCAGAATTACAAACATGATTTGTCAACAAGAATCAGCTACCTGTGTATTCTTGCGTAGCATCTAACGGATCGATCCAGACAGTAACACTTTCTGCTGGAACCTCTTTAGGCTGTATTTTTTGTTTTATGTCTTCAGGAATACTGCGATCCCAAGAGACTGTCTCCTGATCAGCTGTATCAACACGTTCTTCAGAGTTTATCTATGATAAGACAATAGAAATAGTTGTGTTAATTAATCAGATACTGTAACTGTGGTACTTGGGATAATTACAGGTTTGCTCGTACCTGTTCTTTCTCCATTCACCTCCAAGTAAAAGTACATGAATTAGTCATTTTTCAGCAACTCACGAGCTATTACTGTCATGCAACAAGAAATGGAAAACCACAATCCAGAATATTACTCTCAACCACACTACAGCTGGACACCATTTCTTTGGCTGCAGCTCTTCCTACTTAATATTCTCATAGTATGAATCATAGTTTTGTTTTATCTTTAATCAAGAGTTGCTTCAAAGACTACAAGCAGAACATTTGACTTTGGAGAATCACGCAGTACACAGATATAGCAGGGGTCTAATATTCCATTTGTACAGATCAGCAGATGCATATGGAAACTTACAGATATTTTATCAACAAGTATTTCACAGACTGTGCTATGACCTGGGGGAGTAGGAATTATTGTACCTACTCCTGCTTCCAGCACTGAGTTACAACTAGCAATTTAAGCATCTCAACTAGATTTAACCATTACACAACTGTCAGATGAATGCTATGTTATAAACAAGTTAGTAACATTCCTTATCTGTCTTTATGGTAGGTTGGGATAAGGACCCAAGGCGGCCCATGAAGAACACTTAAAAGCAGTAGCAAAAGGCCTACTAGTCACTTGTTACCTAGCTTAATGAATTTTATTCTGGACCAGAAGGCATTTCAGAATGCTTGAGCAGAGTTTGGTCCAGTAGCAGATCCCACAGTCCCAATCTGTTGAATGGAATAATCTGTAAAACCCAGTACAATGTAATTGTGACTGCAGTAGCAAGACATTTTTGGATCACAAGAGCTGCAGTTATCACAAAACACTGTATATAATGATCTCCCATGTTACACAACAGCACATAATCTGTCAGGAAGAACTACTGGGGAAATATGGATCAATCTGTCTTAGCCCATCCGTATCAGTTTACTACCACTGCAAACATGGCCCATAGGGGGGCTGTAATGCAACTGGACATAAGTAGTGCTAACAGGAATTTAGACAAATTCATCCCATTCACTTTTAGCACCTCGGTTACATTAGGAGACTAGTATTTCTATGTTCCTTCTACTGCCAATAAAAGGGAAATCATTGCTACTGTGCCTTTCAAGCTTCAGCCTGTGTGAGCCCTTCAGAAACAAATCACCCCACTCAGTAGGATGATAACGCTTATGTCTTAGATGTGTCAGCTATATGTCTCAAGTTGAGTGTAACCAATCTGGACCTTTAAGTTTCAGAATTAGAACATTTCATATTAGAACACAAGCTTTTTTGTTCTTATTTACTTAAATGTGGCTACCTCTAATACAGTTCTAAAGGGATGCCAAACTGACTAGCTCCAGTCAAGGCAAAATAGTAGGTGCACATGGGGTGCCATGTGTCTTAAGCTAGAACCACCAATTTCCCTTTACTTGTTACATATGGAGTCAAGACTGCTAGCTCAGATTCAGATAACTGGCTGATAGAGCAGATAAATCCCCTCTAACTAAACCAACTTATTACAGACTGTAGGCAAGTGACACTGAAAGACAAGGAAAAGAAAGAAATGATCAGACTATGTTTGAATGTTACGTACTTTGGATCAGCAGGATTTTTACATAATTCACATTGTGACAAGAAAAGACATCACACACCTCAAATGTAACAGATTATCAGCAAAGGGTTAAGGGCCATCTTCCCTGAGAGAATTAAAAAAAAAAAAAAAGCAAGCAGAACTGCAGCAACTCCAGCCATACATCATAGCTGTCTTCTCACGTAAAACCAGTAGTTGAAGCATTGTACGCCAAACAGAGTCCTTGAAGTTGTTGGGACATTTACAAATTAAACATCTGTCACTGTACAATAAACCTGATGATTGTGTTTTCCCCTAGGGAAAACAGTCTTGCAAAGTCAAGATAACTAGTCCCACAGACTTGGCAGCCTCAACATAGCCCCTGGGCAGTTTAAATTCCACTACAGCAAATTATGAACCACCATAAGACCACATTTCCTCAATAGAAGAGGCCTCCAAAACGTTAAAGGGTTGGAACCAACCCTCAAAAGGAATAATATCTTGTTAAACCTATTGTTGCAGTACACTAAAATGAAAAGACTGACTCTATCTGAAGGGTATTGCTTTCAGAGAAAGACTTCCTAGAACTTCAAATTTTGTAGCAGTGGCCATGACACTGCAGCATTTATAATGCTTGTGAGGAGTCTCTCTCAACAGCCATGATTAATCTGTCAAAAAAAAAGGTAATAGTGATGAGGTTGCAGAGCCATTTGGAGAAAAAAAAAAACAAAAACATCAACTGGGTCACTAGTTCTTCCATTCATATGACCATTTACTCTTTAGCCTTGGCTGAATACTCCACAAGTCATAGTCCAAGTAGAAATTCATAGCTATTCCACCACATTCAGTTACTAAATTTATTTATTGCTAGGAAGCAACGTTATAGGTTTTGCAAGACATAGCTGCCTGAGAGAAGATCACCAGCCTTTGACACTGGGAACTTCTCACCCCACCGCCTTTTTTTTTTTTTTTTTTTTTTTTTTTTTAAAAATGCGTGAGAATATACCCAGAAAACATGTCCTTGTGTTAACATGATATTCTGTTCCTACTTGCCATTCTCATTTGCTGGAAGCCTCCAGAAGCCATGACATTACATTTCAAGCTTTTCTATAGTGATATGGATATGTAGCTGACTGCATTCCCAAGTCTTCACTCAGAAATCAGGAGTAACCATGGTAAAAAGACAATCACAGTGCCAAACATATCAGACAACAGAGCTTGCTCCAGCAAGACACTCTGAGTAAATTAAACTATGTTAGTGTAAATAATTAAAAAGCTTGCATGCTTGCCATCATACACATAACTTTGCCAGCTTCTAACAGTCAGATTTAGACAGCAATGCATCATGCAAGAACTTGAAACAGCAAGCAGAAGACAGAAATAAATTGCTATTTGGGGTTAGCCACCTTACAGCAGTAAGCTGTAAAAGCCCATCTTGGGAAGTTCTGTAGCCTGTCCACTGACACCGAGATTAACTACATTTCAGCAACCTTCCCCAGTTATGCTTGAGGGGAAAGTCCTCCTCACAGGGAAGAACTGCATTAAACACAGAGGTTTAATAAAACATATGTAAATCACTGAACAGACTACTGCTGAAAGGTCAACAACAAAAAATTATTTTATAAACAAGGCAGTCTGGCTGCACCTTGCCAGTGCAGAGCTTCCTCAAAAGTCTGTGAGTTGCAGGAATCTCGTAATGGATGAGGATGCTGCTTGTGGGAGCCAGCAGCAGAGGTCAAATGGCAACCGTGGGATCTGCCCATGATGTGTCTTCCAAAACACCCAGGTGTTCCCAGCCTTCGGAAACCCACTGCACAGAAAACACTCTCCTCTGGCACGTTGGTGATTGGAATACAGATCTGCCCAGGGACATGGGAAGCAACTCAGGAGTGTACTACAAACATGTGTGGATAAATGCAGTGCTCTGAACAAAAAGCCAACAGTCCTGACCACGTAAAGACTTCAGGAAACCTCACAGTGCTTCGTTGCCCTGTGCTGGGCTACTCTCTACCAGCACTTCATAATGTTTATGTGGCAGCTCATCACCCAACAAACTTACTTGAATACTAGACAGTTGTCCATGGCGAGATGAACAAACTTAGGCTTTTTCCTGGTTTGAAAGAGTAAAACACAGCTATAGCTTTGCCTTTGAATTCACCAATTAAAGATAAATTAAACTGAAAAAAAATAGATGCTGAAAAAAAAAATAAAAAAAATAGAAGTTTCCATTCAAGTACAGTTTTTTTTTTTTTTTTTTAAATAAACATCAGTATATAAAAATACAATGTTTTTCTTTGGAAGTGTTTGGTGTTACGTGAATTTTATTTAAATTTATTAGTCCCCCTCCTTCTCCACATCCTTATCCATTCCAATACTAATTTTGTATTTTAATATGCAAACAATCCACTATCTTGACAAAAAGATGAGGTAGCACAGCTCTTTATTCCTGAGGGCATTAATATCCCCATCTGGTAACTAAGTCCTCTCAAATCCAAGTCTCAGTGCTATTTTAGTAGAATAGAACAAAATGAGAACAACACAAATACTATTCAACTTTTATTATGAAGAAGAAATACTAATTAATCTACTCAAGCTAAAAACAAAACAAAAAACTCTCATAGTTTAGATAACAACAAAAGATAATATTCACTAGTCAGGATATGAATATAAGAGTATTCCATGTATTAAATTTCAAGAACAGAAACTGGCACAGGTTGCCCAGAGAGGTGGTAGATGCCCCATCCCTGGAAACATTCAAGGTCAGGCTGGACGGGGCTCTGACCAACCTGATCTAGTTGAAGATGTCCCTGCTCACTGCAGGGGGCTAGACTAGATGATCTTTAAAGGTCCCTTCCATCCCAAACCATTCTATGATTCAATGGGTAAGTCTACTGATTTGCATGGGACCACGAAAATGAAAAGCCTAGAAGCCCACACAGAATAGTGTGTAAAACATTAACAGATGTTTGACTTTGCTTTTCTGTTTTGTTAGGGCACTATGCATGACATACACAGCCACTTCATCAGTGATTATGCAATATAAGCACTACACATACCCAAGATTCAAACTTAACTTTGCCATTTGTATTCATGTGACAAGAGATGAAGGAAAGGAGTGGAGGGACAGAAGTAAGTAAATGCAAATATTTACAAACAATAAGCCAACAATGATTCTGATACCTCCTTAGTGGCTGAGTGATGTCCCCTGTGGACAGTGGAAGATATTTTACCCCTATATGCACCCTCCGGACTCATGTCCAGAGCAACCAGCAAGAGAATACCCATTAACCATGCACCTTGAAAGGCGTACTGACCTACTAGGTGGCTGCATAGGACTGTACCGGATTTGCTGATTTGACTGTGCTTCAGAGATGTCACAGCTCACAGGAGAGCAGTTCAAGCAGCAGTTTTGGGTTTTCCCCCACTTATGGGCCAAGTCTCACACTTCGCCCTCCAACTGCTGCCATCACGCTGCTCTGAAGAGCAACGTGCCCTTATACCTACTACACAAGTCAGACTGTTTTCCCTCTGTTTGCTCAGCTTCTCTTTGGGTTTTCCCTCAAATGTATCAGAGGTGAAAGCTGTCTCGTGTTCTCACAGCACCCATACATACACAAATTGTGTGAAGGAATCCAATGACAAAGCCTCTGAACATAAACACCCACTCAAGTCAGGATGTATAAATATGAAGGAGAGCACTCTCCAGGAAATCAAGAAGTAGGGTCAAAGCACCGTATTTCCAACAACCGAAGAAAGTACCTAACTTATCCTGGTTATGAAACAGGGCTCCAGAATCTGCTACAGCAGGAAGAACTCACATTCACACCAAGACTCAGTTCACCAGGAGCCAGGACCACTCACAATCCTTCCCTTCCAACTTTTGAATTTGGGGGTGGCAAGTAGCAGTTTTCACTGGAACGAAAGCTGCTCCCTGAAAGTTTATGTTACTTGACACTGAAAAGAACGCAAACTCAGAAATCAAAATATCCCTTCCTTTTTTAAGTTTAAATGCCTTTAAGCTTTAAACAATTTGAATAATAGCCTTGCCAGCATGGTAAAAAAAAAATCTACTTTTATTCCATATACTGACATTTTAAAATTCAGCTGCTTCCTTTGGAAAGGGTTCTTTCCTCCTTAGATTACCACAACATATTAGAAAGGAAAAAATGAGCTTTTACACAATGGTGATCTTCTTCATGCCTTGCAAAAAAGTTCCTCTTACTAGGGCCCAACTAACCAAGAGTTTTGGCAGGGTAGATTTTGTTATGAAAGGATGGAGAGGACCTTGATGAATCACATGGTTCTCTATATAAATAGCTTGGTAAAAGGTAATAAATTATAATAAAAATATAAAGTATATTTGTATATAAATGTGTAAAGTACAAAAACATACTAATATATAAAATAATAAAAGGTATAAAAAAATGCTAGTGTCATTTCATTTATTTGAAATGAAAACAACAAATACTTCTATAATGCCACAATACAGATAAAGGAGGCAGACACTTTTCAAGGCACAGAAGTCCAGACAGACAGAAGTTCTGAAGTCTCCTTTACCAACAACTACATCTCAATTTATTTTAATGACAACAAGAAGTCACCTCATGTAGGAACAAGATGACAAGTCTAAATGTCAAAAAGCTCAATTACTGTTTATCAAAACTCATTACGTGGCTTTGGTCATTAAGCCAGCAGGAAGCAGAGTGAAAAAAACAAGTTTTCATAAACAGTAAAGAAGTATCAGATGACAACTCTGCTTCTACTGACTTATAATGAAGTTGGTGAAAACAACAAAAATGCAACAGAGGGAATCAGCCTGGATCAAAGACTTCACAGAGTTTACACCAGTAAACTGTTGAAACAACTGTAATTTAAAAGCAGTAAAAGTAATGGAGTCATTAGCTGACAAGTTGTTTCAGTAGATGGCAGAATTCTTAATTACAGTTCTGTAGAGATGCAAGTCTAGCTGAGAGAAAGGGATGACCAGCCTATCGCAAGAGCTGCAACACTGCTTTTCATTTTAAGCAGCCAGCCAAGCAAGGCCAGATTAGAAGTGTATCAGTACAATAAATAACACTGAGGAAACTTTTGCTGTTTGCAAGTGACTACACTACTGAAAACTCAAATCTCCAGATGCTCAGCTGACAGATTAAACACGCCCAGTATACACACAAGCCAAATGAACTACCTGTAATTACATCTGAAGAGATAATCACAGAACTCATTATCATAAAGTTACAGGCTTTAATTTCATTTTAAGTAGAGAGCCAGCATAAGTCATCTAGCATCAGTTAAAAGCCATGTTAAGAGATGCATCTCCAGTCAACACCTATTAATGAGATTTCAACTAACATTCACACTTCTTGCTTTACTTAGAAAGCTGTTGGCAGTTGCTAAGATCATCCGGGTCAGAAGAATGTTAATTTTGTTAAAAACCTTAAGACCTGGGGATTAGACTCTCCCAACATGAAGAGACAAACAAATTGCTGAACTTACTCAGCAAAGCACTGAAATCCTTCTGAAGTTTAAGGAACATTCTAAACCTGAGGATTAGACTCTCCCAACATGAAGAGACAAATTGCTGAACTTACTCAGCAAAGCATTGAAATCCTTCTGAAGTTTAAGGAACATTCTAGTTTTTACACCAACTTCTTTAACATAACTACCTTTCCCACAGAATCAGTGTCAGAAGCAGAGCTTGTCACCTCAGATGACATTCTAGTTTTCTAAGTATGACAGTCAGCACTGTGACCAGAAGCCTGTAAACAGTAGGTTTAAACCTAGAAAGAATTTCAGGTAGCTTGACAAAAAAAGGAGGGCTTGGAGGCATTAATCTCCAAAAAGAGCAATTAATTTAAAAGAAAATCTCATTAGAAGTAAAACTGACATGTTCTGAAATTTCCACTTTCAACATTGATGTCCAATTCCAGCATTATCATACACAAACTTGAAATGAGGTATTTATCATCTATCTAAACTGGGAAAGAGACAGAAGAATGTTTGTATTCAGGGCAGTAGCAAGACTGATAAAAAGATGCTTGAAGAAAGACTGGAACAGAGGAAGGCTTGATTTCTATCACAGTCACAATTTTAAAAAAAGAAGAAACAAATGGTACTTCTCTATTCAGTATTACACTAGAAAACAAGACATAGAGCTGGTGCAACTATAGAACATCAATCAATACACTGGTCAAAAATAAGCCCAAATAGCTAAAAATGAGAGTATAGAGCAAAATTAATTCTGGCAAATAACACTGAAGTCTGCATCCTGTGAAAGTAACGCTAGTATAGTACAGAAGCAAACCAGCAAAAGTTGTGTGGGTCACTTTAAAATTGGCTTTTTCATAGTTGGAGGATAGAGGGACTTTGGTCAAAGTGCTGGTTTAAGGAACACTTAAGGTACTGTCAACCACCCCTGCCACTGTGGGCAAGCAGGGCTGATCCTTCAGATGTGCTGATGCAGGCTGTTGGTAGGAAGAATAATGTGAAGTAAACCAGGGTATTCCTAAGTCTTCTAAATCATCTTTATTTTACTTTTTTACCTTGGATACATTCAGATATCAAGCTTCTGACACTGACTCCTGGATAAGCAGCATTAGAAAAACAGAAGACCCTGAGGTGTGGGTGCTGAGAGAGAAGGTCTTTTAGCAGGCAATACTGCTGAAACCCTGGTACCACGAGAACATATCTTCAAACAGAGAAGCCCTTCTGGGCAAAACATACCACTGTTTCTGGCCAGTCTCTAATCAGTTTGGAAACACTGCTTCCCCAGTCCCCCCTCCCCCCAGCAGCATGGCTGGCTCGAGCATCTCCTTAATTGCCTCACCTGACTCCCATCACAGTCCTTCTTATCACACCACCACTGTGCTAGCACAATGAATAACTGGGCTGCATGGAGAATCAACCAGGAAAACAACTAAATAACCCAGAAAAGATAAATTTAAAAAAAAATGAAAAGGAGCAATGGGGATGATTATAGCTGGATCAGAGCCTTAGCTTGTTCTCCGCATGCCAAACAAACAGACAAAGGCAACACACTGGTAGTACAGGAGTTGAAAAGGAGCAGTGGGGATGATTATAGCTGGATCAGAGCTTTAGCTTGTTCTCCGCATGCCAAACAAATAGACAAAGGCAACACACTGGTAGTACAGGAGTAGTAAACACCTCAAGCTGTAACTGCAGTTGAGAACTTGATCAAAAGAAATCACTGCATATATTTTAGTATGAAATATATTTTAAAATCAAATGCACAAACATACTTCACAGAACTACATAGATATTAATTGCTGGATGTTGAGTGTGATCACTCAGACAATACTGAGTAATACTTAAGTTTGAAATAACTGACTTGCCCCTTCCTCCCCCATCTTTCTCATTCCTGTTTCTGAGGGACAGGACAACAATACTCAACACCATTCAATCTACTACACCGTGATAAAACAGAATTGATCTGTTCCTCTTCGGTCTTACCTAATCTAGCTGTGAGAAGTCTCGAACTGATGCAAATGCATCTATTTATATCAAATAGGACAGGTGATGTAAGCAGCAGAGCTCCTCTTCCTCTGCAGAGGCAATTCCTTTACATAAATTAAAAGGCAAAGGCAAAACATTTTATATTTTTATTGTGGTTTTGTTTTGTTCTTTTTTTTTCTTCCCTTGTATTTTGAAAGCTTTTTTATAAATCACAACTGTCAGGATTGTAAGACTCTTTCCAGATTTATTTCAGCTTCCACAAGTGAGAAGTCTAACTCTTCCATCTTCTCTTAATAATCACACTTTAAGAGAAGCTTTCCTTCAGACAGCCTAGACTGTTTGTGTGCTTTCCCTTATTATGTCCAGCTGCACAATACAGGGAATCCAAGGCTGCTCACTGACTTAAGCTTATTTCAGTCAAATGACTTCTCCTCCTGGTTATATTTAAACATTGGAAAGCCATAGCTATTCTTAGAGTTGTTTTATTTTACTTCAGCAATGTTTTTTTTATTTTGGAGCATCCCTCTGTACATGGGGATAAGGTTAGAGGTATAATGCGTGATGCTTCTTACAAGATGCACTCTTATACTGCCTCACATAAAAGGTGTATCAAGAAATCCTCTATAATTCTCATATTCACACTAAAACTGCAGCAGGTCTCTTCTATGAAGCAGTAGCAGTTTTAGATGTATTTGCTGAAGGTATACATGAAGGATTTGCAGATTGAAATGAGACCTTGCCTTCACACCAGAAAGTGTATAGTCCCACATGTATATAGTGAAACAAAGTTTTTCTTTTGGCTTGGACAAATGTGTATGGATACATCTTCATCATAGTATAAACTTTAAGACAGCATGTCTTATCAGTATATACAGCTCAGTGGGTATTTTTTAAACACCGCACAAAATAAGCTGTTATTATCCAGATCATGTACTCAGAATATTAAATACCCCACAGCTTATCTGTCAGATGGAATAACTCCAGATCTGCTAAAACAGACTCAGACAAACTCTTCCTAGTCACCCTCAATGCTCAAGCTCAGTCAGTCTAAGGGGAAGTGGTAGAGGGGGAAAAAGAAAAGTAACAAAAGACATATACCAGATTTTTTTTCCAGTTCCACAGATGTACACACACACTTTTGTATTCATACTGTGTTTGAGAACACATCTGCACTTTAGAAAGTGCCATGTATTTTTAAAGACTGGCAGCAGAAGTCAACCCCAAGGAAAATAAAAAGGAGTACTGAAGTTTTTTAAAAGTAAATATTCATAGAATCATAGAATGGTTTGAATTGGAAGGGACCTTAAAGATCATCTAGTTCCAATCCCCCTGCCATCAGCAGGGACACCTTCCACTAAATCAGGTTGCTCAAAGCCTCATCCAGCCTGGCCTTAAACATTTCCAGGGAGGGGGCATCCACAGCTTCTCTGGGCAACCTGTTCCAGTGACTGATCACCCTCACAGTGAAAAACTTCTTCCTAATATCTAATCTAAACCTACCCTCTTTCAGTTTAAACCCATTTCCCCTTGTCTTGTCATTAGTTGCCCTTATGAAAAGTCCCTCCCCAGCTTTCTTGTAGGCCCCCTTCAGGTACTGGAAGGCCGCTATAAGATCTCCCCGGAGCCTTCTCTTTTTCAGGCTGAACAGCCCCAACTCTTTCAGCCTGTCTTCATAGGAGAGGTGCTCCAGCCCTCAGATCATCCTGGTGGCCCTTCTCTGGACTTGTTCTAACTGGTCCATGTAATATAAATATTCACAGGCAATATAAATATTCACAGTTAACGCCCTCTGAGAGGAAGATGCACAAGTCAGACTGTCACTGCTGTGCATCCCTGGCACCAGAGCAGAGATTACACACGTGACCACAGACACAGAACAGGCAATACAGCTCACTGAACTCTTCAAGCCCAAACCGAACCCCCCGCCTTTGCTAGAAGCATGGACAACTCTCATATCCAAACCAACAAAGTCCCTCCATTTGTGGAAGGGGAGAAAGTGTACAGGTTTCAGGCAGCGACAGAGGTATGTTGTAATGCCAAGTTCTGTGTGGACACTGAACAGCAAAAGAGAACAGAGACAATACTTTTTCTTCCTTTAACACAGGGCCTGTGAAGGTGGCTTGCCATTGACAGACAATCCAGCAATCTTCAGAACATAGCCTTCATAATCCTGCTGTAGAGGAAGATTAATCACATATTGAGTTTATTTCAGATATTGAAAAACTTACTGTTTCCTTTAGATTTCATATTCAGTGGGTTCTCTACAGCACCTTAAAATAAAAACCCCACCCCACTTTGAGGAACTTCCAGAACAGCCACTGAAAACCCACCGAGTAGTAACTAACCTTAACCAAAAAATAAACTTAATTATATTGCTTTTTCTCCCAGCTTCTCCAGGAAAAGCATGCAGTCATCACCTTTGAAATCCAAACATAAGGTTTTCTATCTGTTTCAAACAACTGTAAAAAGCTAAGGAGTTTAACATCAAGAGACTGAAGAGAAGTTCCCGTTTACTAAAGCAAAAGTGGAAACAAAGCTGACAACAACCAAAAAGCCTCGAAGTGTGGTTCTGGTTTAAGAGCAACTTTAAGTGTGAAACACAGATTTCGGAGGCAAATGAAAGCAGAGGGAGGTGTACACCTCTGAAAGAAAAGTAAATCTATTTTCGCCACATAGGCAGTGATCCACAACATGACACAGCTGTTAGCTTATCTGCTGTCCCAAAGCCACAAAAGCTAAGAACTCAGATACTGTAACACTATGTTTGGGGAGGGACTTTTTATAAAGGCAGTTAATGACAGAACAAGGGGAAAGGGCTTTAAGATGAAAGAGGGTAGGTTTAGATTAGATATGAGGAAGAAATTCTTCACTGTGAGGGTGGTCAGACACTGGAACAAGTTGCCCAAGGAAGTTGTGGCTGCCCCCTCCCTGGAAGTGTTCAAGGCCAGGTTGGATGAAGCTTTGAGCAACCTGGTCTAGTGGAAGGTGTCCCTGCTGATGGCAGTGGGGTTGGAACTAGATGATCTTTAAGGTCCCTTCCAACCCAAACCATTCCATTCTATGTTCCTAAATTTCCAATTCTCAACCCCTTCTCCTCACTCCTGCCTCTCCCTATAACTTAAGGCAGGAAGGACAACCGGCAGGAAAAGCAATTTAAGAAATTAACAACATTGTTAATATCAGACTTACAAACATACGCAGAATTGGTGCTACAGAATTACCTTTATCGTTAACCCGAGAGCGCATAATTCAGTGTTTAGACTCGGTGCTTTCCCCCGCCACAGCCATGTCATTCCAAACCCACAGTCTCACCGTGAATGGCTTCGCTTATACACGATCCAACTCCCTCCTTCCCCTGCAGCCCAACACCCACGGCAGCAGGTATGAGGTGGCACTGCCACAACATCGGCAAGAGGGGAAGGAGAAACGCAAAGTAAGGGCAGCATTTCCCGTCGGCGTTACAAAACGCAGGGCTGACACGTGTCTCCCCGCAGACGGCGGAGTCGGG